AATCATATGGGACCATGATAGTGAGTTCATCAACTCTTCTTTTCCCATTTCTCCCCTGCTTGCTTTTCTTATGTCTATTTCTTCTTCTATCTCTGGGTTTTAAGATCATAATCTTAAATTTCAGATCTGACCATACTTATCAGATTTCTCTCTATTTCCATTAAAATGAAGAACTATATTTGTGTTTTGTTTTATATTCATCAAAGCTCAAGAGCAAAGTAACATCATTTACACTTGGGCTTTCTTTTAGACTTTGAAATTAGACCTAAAATGAAAGAATTAACTCCACAGAAGAGCATTCCTGAAGAAGTGATATTTCATAATGTGATAGTATACTCAAGTTTTGAAGACTGGAAACTTGGAGGTAAGATAAATCACCGAGAAAACCAAGACAAGTTTTTGAATCAAGTTTCACGCATTAACAGTGTGTCAGTGACAAAGGGAATAGACCATGAATGTAATACACTGGAGAAAGTATTTCACATGAACTCAACATCTAATGAACATATCAGAGCCTTCATGCAGAAGTCACACTTCTTTGCACAACCAAAAAATCTAACCAGTGAGAAATCATATAAATGTATTCAGTGTGGAAAAGCCTTCAGTGGAAAGTCAGGGCTCATTGTACATCAGAGAATTCATACTGGGGAGAAACCATTCAAATGCAATGAATGTGGAAAAGCCTTTATTCAGAAGTCACAACTCACTGTACATCGGAGAACTCATACAGGAGAGAAACCCTATGAATGTAGTGAATGTGGGAAAGCATTCATCCAGAAGTCAAACCTCATTATTCATCAGAGGATTCACACAGGGGAGAAACCTTTTGAATGCAATGAATGTGAGAAAGCTTTTATCAAAAAGTCAACACTTACTGTACATCAAAGAGCTCATACTGGGGAGAAACCATATGAATGCACTGAATGTGGTAAAGCTTTCATATGGCGATCACAGCTCATTGTACATCAGAGAATTCATACAGGGGAGAAACCCCATGGATGTAATGAGTGTGGAAAAGCCTTCAACAGGAAGTCAGAACTAAGAGTACATCACAGAATTCATACTGGGGAGAAACCCTTTGAATGTTATGAATGTAAAAAAGCCTTCATTCAGAAGTCAGACCTCATTGTACATCAGAGAACTCACACTGGGGACAAAAGGTATCAGTGCAATGAATGTGGGAAAGCCTTCATACGGAGTTCACAGTTTATTGAACATCAGAGAATTCATACTGGGGAGAAACCCTATGAATGCAGCGAATGCAGAAAAGCCTTTATCCAAAAATCACAACTCATTGTGCATCAGAGAATCCATACTGGGATGAAACCATATGAGTGCACTGAGTGTGGAAAAGCCTTTAGCAAGAAGTCACACCTCACTGTACATCATAGAATACACACTGGAGAAAAACCTTATGAATGCAGTGAATGTAGAAAAGCTTTCAGCAAGAAATCTACTCTCATTTTTCATCAGAGAATTCATGTTGAATAGAAACCATTTTAATTGAATGATAAAACTTTAATTCAGTAATCAAAATTTTATTGCACATCATAGAATTTACATAGGCTAGAAATTATATGAATTTACTAAACATGAGAAACCTTCAATAATACTTCCAGGACTATTAAGCACTAGAAAATTCATACTAACAAGCAAGTTTGAAAAATCATGTTTCCAAAAAACCTTCTATATCGGACATCTTGGTTCAGACATAACAATAAAAGTGTTTAAAGTGTGCTAGAAAAACCTAAATTGCACATGACTGACTTGTTCACTGTGAAGGACAGTTTTTAAAAAATCTGTAGGTAAATTGATTAATCAGGACAACAATGGGACAACCATATGTAATCTTTCTGCAAGCGACATAGGAATGGCATTCAAACCCAATTTGTTAGTTGGAAGTGAATATGAATATTTACACCTATCTTACTTTTCCACACTAAATGACACTATTTTCCTCACATCTTAAAACATAAAGTGTAAATAGATAAATTGTAACTGCAAAAGCAATATATATTGTTATTTAACAAGAGTGTAAAAAGTTATATTACATATAACTCTTCCATCACTCTTTCTTGATTTGTATAGAATGAAGAGAGATAAAGCCAGGATATTTTTAAAGACTCCAAAAGTCAGTAATAGACTTAAAAAATATTGTTTGATGTAAAGTATGCAGAGATAAGAAAGACACTAAATAACACAATACTGAAAGTGGACAGCAAAGTGGCTGTAGACAGTGTTGGCATACTCAACTCATGACAAAAATAGTTCTACACAAGGAATTCCTGTTTATACTCCTGTTAGTTTTTAGCTCAGTATAGTATTTACATAAGCACTATTATACATAGCTTAGAATCTTTTTATCCTTGTTATCAGAATTGAATTTTCTTTAAAGCTTCCTTTATTGGATGTTTCCACTACACAGACGTTCTACTTAGCATTTGATATGTACTTCATTTAATCACTGGCATTATCACCATCTTATAGATGAGGCAAGTAGAACCAAGAGATGTTCCCTGACCCAGCTGAGGCTACATGGCTAGTAAGTAGAAGATTGGGATTCAGAACAACCTCTTAGCATCCACACTTCTCTCCCAGTGGGGACATGGATAGCTCGGTGCCATGTCATTTCATCTCCAAATAGAATTGAATTGAATTTGATTGAACATCATATGGTATTTTATGTCCTGTTCCTACATTATGCTGAATAAATTCACATGAAAAATGCATTTTAAAGAGGTTATTAGATTCCAATTTCTTACATATAGATGCTGTTGGGTATACTGTGGTTTTTGACATTGGTTCAGGTATATCTGTTTTGCTGCCCTGTGAATTTTGTTGTGACCATCCTATACAATAGAGATTATACTGATATTTTTTGTTTGAAAAAAGAAGTCTTTGTTTTGTTGATCTGTCATTTTATCACAACTTTTTAAATTTATTTTTATTTATTTATTTATTTTATAAATTCTGCCATTACCCAAGCTATTCTAACAGAGCTCCATGGTTATAATAGCTTCTCTTTAACTTCC